GTTCCTGCAAAATTGTGCTATATTTAGTAAACAAACACATAAATTACAGTTATATAAACACTTCCTCAAACTATGGAGTTTTTCCATTACTTATTAGTTGCAGTTGCTGATAGTCTAAGAGAAAAGGTTCAGATGTCACAACAAACAAAAATAGAAGACCGTAGCTCCAATCCAGATCTCTTTCTCTCCTTCATTCCTGTATTTGAAAAGCTGGGCCAATTTATCAACTTTGAGCCTAGCCTTACGAAGGATGCTGCATTAGATCTTTGGGGATAAGAGTGGTTGAAAGCTCTAGTAGCCAGAGCAGCACAGCGAAATAAAGAAATACAAGCTGCTTTTAAAATATGTGTCCAGAAAGAATTGCTGATGGCACTTTGTTGGTTCTTTGAAACTCCAGAATGACTGGCTAAACCAGAACAGACGGTGGCAGGAGTGAATTAATGCTGAAGGGATAACACAATTTCACTGCTTAAGCACTGTTGATAAATAGAATGGAAGTAAACTGTGCTAGGGGTCTACTATTGGTTTTATCTTTTTGTTTGCTTGTTTGTTTTCTACAGGTTTCTCTGACTGGAACCTAGTTAGTGCCCTAAGAAGGCAGGTACTGAGTCATTTACCTCCAGAGCTGCAAAGGTCTGCAGAATCTGCATCCAAACCAGAAAACTGATTACCCCAAGACCAACCACAAACGCATATATCTCAGGTTCCTAAGCCAGTGATGACATGATCCAGAAGGACCTGATTTAGACTATTATTGGACACTGCAGATCATTATTTTGTTTGGTCTTTCTGAAAGTTTGTAGCCCTCTAGCACATCTTTCCAGGCAAAGATACCCCAACGTGTATGTCAATGAAACAGGTGGTTGGACAAAATTCTCCATCAGAGTTCAGGTTAAGCATGGAATGAAACTACTAAGTGCACCTTTGAAACACAAAGAAACATAAAATAATGTTGTTACAAATGAGCAGCTATTTCTTTAAAACATAGCTTTAAAGGATTGACTTTCAATTCAGCTATTTTTAAAAGCAAAGTGGCTTACTTTTTTGCTACACTACTTATATTTTACTTTGATGGGAATACATTAATTGCACGTAATATGCTTGGAATGTGTGGAAAATAACATTTTTTCCATGTGAGTCAGCACAGGAAATTAACTGCAAATGAGTAAATTGTTGAGAAGTCTACAGATGGAGTTGGTTTTTTTTAATACACAATGTTTTTGAAGAGTAGAGTACTGACATCATGTTTTCTACAAGAGTAGAGTATCACAGAGATGACTGATGACACACTAGAGACTGAGGAAGAGCAAGAACTTGCTTCTGATCAGCATAGTTTAAGACTCTAATCTGATGCAACACTAATTTAATAGTTTCTGTCTTTGCTGGTGCCAGGTAGTTTTGCCTGCCGTTATTGGACATTGCCAAAGCTTACCACACTCTTACCAAACACAGAAAATTGTAGATAACATGAAATAAACTCAGAGGTGTTCTGACCTGATCTTATTTTCACAGTGATGTAAAATAAACAAAACCAGTATCTTCTAAATGATGATCTAGTGATACATTCCATAAGATACTTTGATTTTCAAAATTTTCCCTTGCTGGGGTTAGATATTAAAATAGTAATAATTGCTACTAGTAAGAAGAGCAAATTAATGGATTTCTAAGAGTCATACTGTGAGAGGGTGTTCATGGGTGGATATACTTAGGAAAATATGTAACTCACCATGGAGTTGAATCCTTAGTCCTAAACTAACCAACATTTTGGAGCTCACAGCAGCAGAACAGTGAGCATCAGAAAGGAGGACAGTCTGCTCAAACATACTTGCCATTTGCTCTGAAATTATGTGAATTCTTACTGCTGACTTCAGTATTAGAACTGACGATTGCATTGGAGTATTTGACACTGCAAGAAGGCTCCGTTAACGTAAAATGGATCCTCCATACACTCCTCAGAGCTCCCTTGAATCTGAAATTTTCTCCCTTATTTCAATTGTCAGAAAACAACTGCTTCTAAACAAAATTTTCCTTCTGCTTACCAAGGTGGAACTCTAGCCCCTGTCTAGAACAGTTAGTTGGAACACTTTGACTCCTGTCTTTAAGGTGAGCTATGAAGCACACTATAAATACTGTTTTTTTCTTTTTTGAAATCAAACTAACAGAGTTTCTTTTGAGTATGCTGCATTGCATTCTGGGATGCATGGAAAACATTTGAATAAGTTTGCATTATACTGATCCTAGTAAACATCCTCCTCTGAATGCTGAAACCACTTACACGTATTTGGCCTTTATCTTATGACTGTACTTCTGTCAAATGAACAAACAGGCACACATGCTGTATCCCAAAGGCAACGTTTGGCTCATCCTGCCTCACAATCAAGGAGAGATGATGCACATATTTTTTTTTGTAGGAAGAGAATGTTTCACGTTCCTTTAATTTTGCTGGGAAAAGAGCAGCTCAGGGAGCCTGCTGCCTCTGCTCTGAGTGTCCTGTTCACTCTGAAGCTGCAGACAGATTCTGCCACGCTGGTGCGACCGAAGTGTGTGCTGCACGCTCATGCTATGCACAGTTCATCATGCTGTCCTGCACCAAACAGAGCTGCTTAGTTCATAGATCAGAGAGCCATTTAAGGTGAGCCTGAAATCATTCTTGGTGGCAAAACTGAAACCATCTAAAGTCAAGCAGTGATTTTCCTGGACTGTTTTCAAAACATGTATCTGTCTTGGCCTTTATTCTCATCTATAAGGAATTTAAAGTCATAGACTCATTACTCTCAAATATCACTGCCCATCAAAAAGGCAAACAGAGAGAACAAACAAGCTCCATGCTGCAAGTGTAAATTCAGAGTCCCTGCACAAAGTGTTTTGGGTTGGTTTTTTTTGTTTTTGTTTTTTTTTTTTTTTTCTTTTCAGTCTACCTTTGGGAGCAGGCTTGACACGATTTCCTGAAAAGCTGCCTGTTTTGCTTCACCATCCCCATAACCAACAGTTGTACAACTGATACAGATTAATTGAGCTGCAAACAGCAACATCCAGATCTCCCATGCTGCTTAAAATACAACACAGTGAACCCGGGCAGGACTGCAGTAGGGATCAAAGAGAGGATTACAGGAACAGAGTAGACATCCATCTATGAAAATCAGGGCATCTAGACTCCAAGGCATGATAAGGTAAAACTCTTAACATCTTTTCTGCCATACCTCCAAGCAAAGAGGAGCTGGAGGAGGTCAGAGCAATTCACCTGGCTCAGCCTGCCAGCAGGCAAAATAGGTTGTGTTAGCTTCTTCAGCAATTACGAAAGGCTTCTTTCTCTAATGAAGTGGCTAAGATACAGAACAGACAAAGCAAGCCCTCAGAGGACAGAAAAGAACAGGAAAAATTCAGAAGGCAGGTGGGGTTAAAGCTGATGTTTTGACATTTGTAGCTATGCTTCAGGGCTTTCCTGTCCCAGGCGGGACACAGATGCCCAGCAAAGGAGAAGGCACGGGTGTTTATGAACTGGAGCTACTCCCTACGAAGTTTGTTGCCAGTAATAATCTGTCTTGAACAGCACTGTTTTGAAATGGTATTGCTGAGTTGTGCAGGCTTGTGACGATACTAATCTCCATACAACTTCATGAGAAGCTGCCAGGAATTAAAAAGACTTAGATTTGCAGAATATATTTGTGAAACTAAGCTTTGATAGAACATTCATCCACATTACAGGAGACAAGTTTTGGGCCTCCTTCCATACCTAAAGTTATTTCAACTAACTGCCTATCTTCCAGACTTCCTTTCAGTCTCTGGACAATGAACTTCCCCGATATTGATGTTTACTCCTTTTCCCTTTGACTTGTTCTACCACTTAAAGTAGAAAAAAACCTTAAAAGACTGGAAAATAACACCAAAATCTGGGATAAAAACTCCTTTGTTTCCCTGGATTCAGTAGAGCTGTGGTGCAGAGAGAATGAAATCAGGCTTCAAGTTTAATCCTTTAAGTTATGGAAGTATGATTGCCTTGCATCAGGTTTAATGTTCTGCAGACAGCTGCCTTTTCCAAAGAACGTGAGTTCCCCACACAAGTAGGGGACACTGAGCACGCTCATGTGGAAAAGGAGGTGCCATTCTCTGAAAAAGATTGAGCAATCCCAACAGCACCTTTCAAGAACTTACCATCCCGTTATCTGAAAAGCAGTGACTTCCATGCCAAGGAACATGAGTTTCTCACAGTAAGCTAGACAAATTACAGACAACAGTTTGTACTCCAAGACCTGCACTACTTCTACAGGAAGCTAAACCAGTGTTTTACTCCTTGTCCTGCTTAAAAATCTGGAAATTGCATCACTCACTTTCACACTGGTACACTGCCACTGAATTTATTATTATTATTATTTTTATATTAAATTATTATCAACCAGATGATAAGTAGGAAGACCAAATCCTGTGCATAATAAACTAGCCCCAAGGATGTGAATTTCTAGGACCATTTCTGAACAGCAATTCCTGCAGCTTCCCACAGTGGTGACCACACTCCAGCCACCTGCCACCCCTTCTTCCCCGGCCCCTCCTTGCTGGAGGGGGAAGGCATGGTCACCACAGTGCATGGGAACTGGGGGCAACACAGGGGGTAGGGGAAGACTCAAGGAGCAAGGGAGTCAGAATTACCGCTGTGGAAAAGAGTAAGGATAGCAGACACAAATTTGCAAGATGGTTTTCTGCTGTTTCTAGCGGAACATACAACAGTTTGTGCTTGGTGGTCAGTCTAACCTGAATGAGAGAGGAATTTGACTCCAGCTGCAACCCTCACCTGTAATTTGTGATGACAGAATGTGTCTACAAGGCAAGAAATCTGTCAACAAATATAGAACTTGTATGAGACTGTGGCAGGTGTGACATTAAGTCCAGATCCTTTTTGCATTAATATTCTCAAGTAGACATCTGGCCTCAGGTAAGTTATGGAAAGGTCATCATGCAAGTTCTAGCACGGACACCCACACAGATTTTCAAAAAATCATTCTTACCAACAATCATGTGGTTGCAGACATCGCAGAAGGTGGGTTTTTTGAAGATGTGCTCCTGGAAGATGTGAGCCTTGTTGCTTTCTGGCAGCTGCTGGGCTCTGGTGGGCGAGGAGGCTTGGCTCTCAGAGCTGGGGAGCTGCCCGGTGCTTGTGCTCACCTCAGGCATCAAGTCTACTTGCAGCTTCACATCGCTATTAGTCCTCTGGAAGAAATTGTCTGCGCTTTTACTCCGCAAGCTTTTGGTCTTGAAGGAGAGCGATCGTTTCAGTTTCTGCAGCTGCAACAAATAAGCCAATTATTTACCTTTTCCTCTTACAACCACTCTTACTCCTTTACAATTACTGCCTTTTCCACAGTAAGGCAAGGCTCCGGGTTTTGGGCTGTGCTGGTGACAAGTGAACCTGGGAGCCACTGGCAGACCTTGAACCACCTGAACAATAAAACTGACTTTAGAATTTAACCAGCAATTTCAGAGCGAAGAAAACAGATCCCAATCAGAAAATAAACTACTCTATATATGCTTTTTGATAGACAATGAACTTGATAACCCTTATGCATGCTTCTATTGGGCTTTTCTTTCAGGTGTGACAGCAAAGCGGTACTGCAGACGGTTGTACGCATTGGAGAATATACCCTTTGTGCTCAGGCATGAGAGAACTTGGAGGATTATTAATCCTCACACGGTCCTTTAAGCAGCCTGTAAAGCCATTTCAGGAACAGCTGTTAAATGGCAGTACAGGAGGAGTGAATTCAGTAAATATGTTTGATACACTTAAATTTCTTGGATTTGGCAGAAACAGATTATATGCAGCTTTGACTGAAAATGTTTTTTAAAGGAAAGAAGGCTAAGGACCAGCAACCTTATAATTAACTAGCCAATTGATAGTTAATGCATTAATTCATTAATAGTTAATACACATTCACATATATTCTTGTATATTGTATTGTGTATTGATTGACAGACTATTAAGAACCACCACAAGGCAATACTAACTTAAATTTGTTATCTCAAACCCTTTACCTATAAACTGTCCTCTACCTTATAAAGAGTTCTTCCCACCCCTGCCAGCTTTATATAAGGCAGAGAAGGGTGCCAGGCAAGGCACAGAAGCTATCAGGATATCAGCTACACAAATTTGCTGGTTTGTCAACTCTGACAGCCCCCAGGGAGGTTCAGGGTAAAAGGAAAACCAGCTCTGCGTCCACTTCACATTTGCTATCTCAGACGTGTAACACCTCCGTTATCACCTTTCACTCAGCACCATTCCAGCCACCGCAACATCATTTCAATCACTGCTGCAATTCTCTGGATAAATGTGACGTAAGAACTGAAATTTTCCATGCCGCTCAGGCTGTCTGTTGTAGCCAGCACGAATGGTTTCTATTAGAAACTGTTTATGTTAGAAGCAGTGATGATCTGGAATCATAATTCAGACTAATACAAAGGGAAGGAGTTCATACACTTTCCCAAAAAAGCATGGCACTGGTCTATCATACTGACTTAGTGGCCTCAGAGCACTTGTTCTCCCCAGATTCTCTTCCCAATCCATTCATTTTCTTTATGATGCAGCTGCAAGCACACTGTCAGAGAGGAGCATCAAGGCATCCCAGGAGGAAGCCTCTCTGCCACCTTCCGACACCAGCAGCTTGTTCGTGGAGAAAGGAGACACTCCAGCTCTCTTCCCTATATTTCAGAATAAACTCCCTGAGTCCAATAAACAGGCAAAGAGCTGCCATAGCCCTGATTAACAATGTTTGGGCTTTTTACGTGGAAGCAAAATGCGTTCTGCTCCCTGAGCTGTTCCTCCACAGTGGCTTTGGGAGCAGGGAAGGATCTGAGCGAGGGGTCCATCCCACATGCACCACTCTCACCCCAGCTCTCTCTGGGTTTGCAGGAGTAGCCCTGGGTCCAAATGAAGGAAGCACTCACCTGTTTGCAAGAAACTCTTAGTCTCTGAATGAATGTGTAAATAAGAGCAATTAAGTCATTAAATGCCAGCTACAAGGTAAAAGCAGTTTCTGGTTTCTGTTTCAGCTGAAGCCTAAGTGACAGACCAGCTGAGCCCAAAACTCACTGCACAACTGCACCAACAAAATGTGAGATCCTCCCTCTTCTGCTCGGATGTTAAGTCACCCACTCCTGAAATCACTGAGGTTACTCAGTACTGAGTTTACTTCATCTCCCCAGTGACAGTCAGGGACTCAGCAGCAGTTCACGCCCTTGCTCCTGAAACGCTTCTCACTGCAGTCAGACCTAATTAGTGCAGCAAAACACAGAGAATTACACCGCCACAAGGTGACTGAAATGGCATTCATTATTGATCTGCAATCCATTCCTACAGTGCCACATGAAGTTAATTAAATTTCAAAACGCTGCTTCTGCCACAGAAAGAAGACTAAGCTCAGCAGTACAGTATTTGTTTTATCATGAAACAACTCTCCTGACAGTTTGCACAATGCGTGCAGTATATTTCAAGGAGCTCTGCATTTATTATCCTCATCCTCTTCTCCTGTGCACAGTCATTTGCTAGTCAAAGGATGGACCGGCAACCTTTCCTCCCCCAGGCAGAAGAGTCAGCAGTTTTCCAAAGAGAGGGTAGTCCAGCATTCAGGCTGTGCGTGTCCAAAGATGCGCACACACATTAAGGTGAGCATGCCACTGTGCACACTCCGTGCACCTCCAGCCACAACATTCAGAGCAGGACACATATTCAGGAATGAGTTGTCCAAGCCACATTCACAGATTTGTCAGGCACCTCAGCACAAGCTAGTAGCTCTCTCTGAGATTCCCTGGGCACTCTTCTGTGTTAATCTGGTTAAATAATTGCCAGGCAAGGTGGGCATCCCTGTTGGTACCCAAATGCAGATTTCATACTTGTTTGCACTCAGGCTGGAGGACACCCACACGTTTAGCTTGCATTTCATACCTAAAGCACCAGAGAAAGTCTGCAGCTATTATATCCCAAATACATTATATGTATACAGAAGTAACTATGCAAAAATGCAGCACATAGGCAATGTTTAGCATTTTGCAAAGCTACTTACACACTTTATACTGTTAAAAAGTACCTCTCAGATCAGAGTGTTTTACACCCATCTTTCCTAAGTGAGAGTATGCACAGCAATAGAAGATTGGCATCAGGTTTTAAAAGTGGATTCAACTTTTCTTTCTTATATTAGGCCCACGAGAGTATTTGAAATAGGGTACTGCTATGTGATTGCTTACTCAGGAAAAGTTGGTGCAATCAAAAGCAAGGCCAGGTTGTTATACAAATAGCATAGATTGTAAAACAATAAAAGCTTAAGTGGTTATTATGCTGTAGTCAAGTAAGCATCACTTCCCTTACTTAAATACCATCATCTCCTCATTTTGAAGTTTGCTATGGCCCGGCCCTGTTCTTTTACTGGAAGATTTCAAATGTTAAATACAGGCATGTCATATATGCCTGATTATGATCTGCAGTAACTGATTTAATGTACTTGTCATGCCACGGGCTCCTAAGAGAGCTACTACAGCAGTCACCTGAAGCAGGAATCAGCTCTATCAATAGAGAGAACAGTATGCAAATTTTACTATTCATAATTTCTTACTGCAGAGTTAAAGAGTCTAAAGTGAACTTCAGAAAAACCCGCAACTATGGTTGTTCTGCACTTGATACTTACCTCAACACTTCCATGAAAAATCATGTATTGGGACTAAAAAAAACCCAAACCCCAAACCAGGCACAAAAAGGCTTTCAGAAACATTTTTGAGATAAATCTCCTAAGCCTTTCACAATTTCTCCTCTGCAGGGAAGGCTGCAAATTTGCTTTCACTTAAATAAAAATAAAAATTAAATTCCCACAAACACAAGAGTATTTTTTTGTAGACAAACACATTGACACTTCAGAAACCTGAACCCTTGAATTCAAATCCAGGATGTTCCTGTGGTTTGAAATTAGAGTCGGGGAAGGTAAAAAAAATTGTCTCTAGTTAAAAGTGTTTTATCAGTCACACAGACTCTTGGTGAGTGCACATACTAACACCACAGGCAAGGTAGAGATAAGTGCAATAGCTAAACCTCAGAGCTTGATTAACCTTTTTTTTTCAGTATCATCCAGCACAATCTCCATCTTCCTCAGAGTTACTGAGTGTTCAAGCTTCAAGAGATCATGAAGCTCTGACGAACCACAGCTTATATCAGCACCTCCTTTGTCCCTAATTCCCCTATACTAGAACTCTTTAAATGCTGTAACCAGAAAACAGGAGGCAGCAAAAGGACTGCTACTGAAATTCATTCCTAGTGTCACTGCTTTTGGTGTGAGTGGGAATTGCACCTGCCCTCACGAAGATGTTATTGGACTTCAATATTGGAAGCACACAACTTTTTCTACAATTTTGGTTTAAGAACTTCCTATGGAAGCTGGGAAGAAATCAGTGATTTGAGCTGTTTTATAATCCCTAGTTTTGCACCTACAAAAGATAGTAATGCATCCTACAAAGAGTAATTTATCCAGGCTCCTAACAGCTTCCTGATACCTAGAAACTCTTTTTCCCTCGCCTCTCCAGGTTGTCTACATTAGCAGCCAACGTGGCTCAGCAGGAGTGGATCTGGAGACTGAAACAGGGGCTCTTGAGGACCCAGCAGACACACCGTACACATTTCAGGGCACAGAGGACTCTGAACCAGACCAGCCTGTTAGTCCTGGCATGCGTTAGGTGCACACCTGGAGCACAAGAAAACGCCCAAGTGATGGTGCTCTGTGCACCACAGTAAGGACAAAAGTGGAGTGAATGGAAACAACTTGCTTTGAAACCACACTCCCAAATCAAACTAAAGTGCTAAGATAGGTGTCCCCTGTGTCATCAGCTTCGCTCCCTCCGTAACCTACACACAAATGTTTCATTCCCTTTCCTGGAGCTCGCTCCTCAGTGATCTCGGTGTGAATGGTGGTTATTAGGAGAACAAACTGAAACTATATTATACTATATTATATCATTATCTGCTTGAGTCATCATCTTTGGCACTCAGAACAACACTCCTGGAGTTTGCTGACATCAGCTTTTTTCCCAAATGCTTGGTCTTGTTCCCTTCTCAGCCACCGCTAACCATCCCTGCCAGCAGCAGAGGCTCCTGTGCAGCGTGGGGCCAACAGGGAGATTATTTTTATACATTTTCACTCTTAACTGTCTTCCAGAAGAAATGAACAAATGAACCAGGCTTATCAACACTGTCTGCTGTATTGCTACTGTGCTAGCAGTAAAAAAAAAAAAAAAATTGCTTGGTCTTCTCTATC